CGCTTCTGCACTCAGCTGGGTCTTGTACCTGTCTTGCCTCACTTGCTCTCCTCTTGACCTTGCTTGTACTGTCACATATATATACCTGCTCTTGCTTGTCTAGCTCTATATATATATGTGTGCACTCCTGCATGTGAACTGGCCTTGTGGCCTTGTCGTTGTGCTCGGACTGTGTGGTGACTTTGTGATCCACCCTGAGCTTGCTGTTCTTTGCGTGACTGGTCTTGTGACCCCTTGTTCTCCCCCACTTTGCCTATGGGGGTGTGTCAGAACATATATATAGCTTATGCTGTTGTGTAGGCTATAGTGGGGTATCCCATAGGGGGTACAACCCAATTAGGGTTTCCTATATGTACTCACTTCATTCATAGTTCATTCATTCTCGTTCTCATTATCACATCCCTCTCTCTCCCTCTCTCTCTCTCTCTCTCCATCTCTCTCTCTCTCTCTCTCTCTCTCTCTCTCTCTCTCTCTCTCTCTCTCTCTCTCTCTCTCTCTCTCTCTCTCAAAAGCGGTCATGCATTAATATTGTTCATAAGGTACAGGCAGGGCAGGATTCAGGCTAGCTAAGCATAGTCAAACGATCAAGGCAAGCAGTGAGAGTGAGCAAGGCACGGGAGACACCCTAGGCACCAAAACCATAGTCACGGAAGACGGGCAATCAACGCCGACATCCTTACGTCCTCCAAGAACAGTCCCCTACCGTATAGGCAGCCCCTATCTCCTTGGACCCCCCATGTGCAGCCCTTCATTATAATCCAGCCCTCCGTACACTACCCTGTGAGTCCTCACCCCCCTCTCTCCTCAGTGTCCCAATCCTCTCCCCCTCATAGCCCTCTTAAGCCGCTCTGGCAGGAGCCTCACGCTCCTCGTAGTCATCCTGAGACATCTGCCAGAGGTCACCGAGCCGTGGGGGCCAGGGGTCGGCTGCTGCCTGCGGGAAAGCTGCCTCTGCTGCCCGGTTCGACTTGGAGAGGAGAGAGATGGCCTGGCTGCGCTGCAGCATCACAGACCATCTCTGACGGTAGTGTGCAGTGAGACGGGCGGCCGTGGTGGTGAGCCGGCCCTTCCTAAACTTCGTTTTAGCTGCATAGGTCGCCAACATGCGCAGGAACTGGACGGTATCTGCCGCCATAGCCCCATAGGTTTCAACCGCTAGACCAAAGAAGCCTGCATAACTGGGACGCCCCTCGTATAGGCGGTGCTTCTTCTGCGAGGCTTCTTCTGCTGCCCAGCCTGGTGGCCTGCGAGCTCTGGGGTCCCTATTCTGCAGCACTGGGTCTGTCACTGTGACATCAGTGACCCATGTTTCCCCAGACTCCTGGTCCCGAATTGCTAAATCTGCCCGTTTCCGAAGCACAGGGGGGGATAAGGCCGAGGTTTCGTGGAAAGTTTTGTAGCCCGCCTCGTTTGCCATGCGCATTGCCGCGTACACTAGGGCGTTGTGGGTCCTAACCGCGTCCCCTCCATCCTGGCATCGCAGGAGGTGGTTCGCTAGGCTCTTGTCCAGAATCTTGGATCCAGGCCGCTTGCATGGGCACACATCGGCGACCGGCAGCTCCATGCCTAGGCGGAGGCCTAGCACCAGCGAGAACTGACCAGGGGAGATAGAAAGGTCAGCCCTCGTTGGGATAGCATGAAGCCAGTCACCTGCCCCCACCCCTTTCAAACTGATCAGCCGAATCGCATGGCCCCTGTTAGCGCCAGGCCGATCGACGACAGTGTCGCCCAGGAGTTCTGCCGCCCGCTGCTGGTTAATCTGCTTAGAGAGGCTCAGCTGCAGGCTACCTGTGCCTGTGTTCTCTGTCCTGAAATGGCCGAGTGTCGCTCTGGCTGGGGCCGGTAGACTCTCCTCCAGGGCTGTCAGGGGGTTTGTGGTTGGCGGCGGCGGGGTCCAGTCTCTCTCTCTCTCTCTCTCTCTCTCTCTCTCTCTCTCTCTCTCTCTCTCTCTCTCTCTCTCTCTCCCTCTCTTTTTGTGTGTGTTTTCATTATTGTTTGAGCATTTGCATGCTTCGCTTGCCATGGGCTTGTGCCTTTCCGCGCGTGCCTTCACTTGGGCTAGGCGACCTCGCTATGCTCCCCCTCTCCCCCCCCCCCCCCCCCCCCCCCTTTTTTTTTTCTTTTTTTTTTTTAATGCCTTGCTCCTTCTCGCCCTTTTTGGTTTTTCAAAGGTCGAACCAGAGCTTCCCATCCTTGCGATGCATGGTGGCGGTTTGAGTGAGGAACGTGCGTACTCTCTTTTTCTCCCTCTCCCCTTCTCCTCCTCGCGTTTCGCCCCCACCCTTTTGTTTTTGTTTTTTTTATCCTTCACAATCTAGAGGGGGCCTTAAATAAAATCCCTATCTCTCATGGTCATACATTGTCATGCCTACTAGCATGCTTCTCATCCCATCAATTGGGGCATACGGGGGACCGAGAGGCATTCTTCCTCTTCCCCAAAGCTAGGCCTACGGCCATACTTTATTACCCTATCCTAGGGGACCGAGAGGCATTCTTCCTCTTCCCCAAAGCTAGGCCTATGGCCAAATTCTACCACCCTATCCTAGGGCTGGCCATGGCCACCGCAAGCCCTACTAGGCTGCCCACGGTCTAAGCACTCAAGAGTGCACCGTGCATCGCGCCTAGTGGCGCGCTTCATCATAGCCCCCGAACCCTACACAACCGGTGCGGGTCCTTGGCCCCCATGCCCATTCCGAGGGCAGGCATTGGCGACGTGGCCTGGCTGGCCGCAGCGGAAACACAAACCACGAAAGCCTTGGAAGTTGCCCGAGGTTGGAGGGCCACGTTTTGGAGCGAATGCCATGGCGCCGTGGTTTCCACCACGGTGGGAGCGAGCGCGAGCGCCCGCCGCTCGGTCCATGGCAGCCACATCTGCGACGGCTTGCTTGAACGGCCGCGAGGTGAGAAGACTTTTCTGCAGGTACATTTTGTAGCGCTTGGCCACGCGGTCGTCGGCGGTGTCTTCGACTTGAAACATGTCGAAGCGCGCGGAAATGTCGTCGAGGGCGGCGACGACCATTTCGAGTCCGCCCGTCAAGTCGACGTGCTGCAGTTTGTACTATGCGTGTTTCAGGTAAGCCCGCATGTCCTCCAGAATTTCCGCTTTCGCCCGCACGTGCGCGTCGTTGAACGTCGCCGCCGACCAAGTGGTGTTAGTAGTAGAGGGGAGGGGGGGAAGATGCTCCATGGAATTAAAATTTGTGGTATGGACCGGAGCCTCACCATCATCGTCGTCGGAGCCGTCAGTGTCGTTGTCGGCCGCTGGCGCAGGTGGGATGCTGGCCGGTGCTTCCTTGTCGTGCCGGTTTGCCGTTGTTCCTCGCGCTCCTTTTTCTCTTGCGTTTTCCTTTTTAGCAGATGCAGAGGCCGCAGGTTGTGCAATTTCCGTAGCTGTAACGCTGGCGGTCTGTTGCTGTAATAGGGAAAGAAGCGCGGCGACCTGGTCCGGGGTCAACGCGTTGGTCAACGCCGGGGTCGTCGCGTCAGAGGAAGTCGCTGTTCGGCGCCTCTAGCGCTGACGCAACGGTCCAGTCACAGGCGCCGGCGTGTGCTCCGCGTCAGGCGCGTGTGGCGCCACAGGTGCTGCAGGTGCCGCCGTCGCCACTTGCGCCACACACGCCTCAAACGCCACAGGCGCCACAGGGGCCGAGGGGTGCTGCTGCTGGGGCGGGCTCGAGTTTTTGTTGACCTCGAGCACGCCCAACAGCACGTCCACGGCAGTTGGGGCGGGCGATCCTTCCTCTGCCCGCCGCTTGTTACGGCGATCGCCCGTCATTTCTCGGCGTTACGATCGGTGTCGGAACTCGGCGCAGACGAATTGCCGCGGTTAAGTGCCGGCGTAGATGCCATTGTAGAGCGCTTGTGGTTGAAAATGTCTTGCAGAAGTGTTGAGGGTGACTGGCCTCTGGGAAGAGTGCTTGTTCTAGCCAGCTTGGACGGGGAAAAGAACGACTCGAACGGAAATGTCGATTGAGCCGTTGGAAAACGAGAAACGTGGGTGGAGGGAATGAACTCCAACCCACGGTTTTTGTAGTTGGAGAAGGGCGTTTAGCGCGCTTCGACGCTGCCAAATATTCGGTACAGGCAGCTTCGCTTTTACAATACACAATTTTGAAAAACATCAATGTGTTTAAAAATTTTAATCATAATGGTGACAATTAAAGCCCGCAGCTAAAATAGTGACCCCCCCCTTCTAGTTGGGTCCACTTGAAGGTTGGGTGCTGCTCTGTTTTTTTTTTTAGTCAAACGCGTTTGATACTTGAAGAGTCTTAAAGCAACAGTATACTTTTGCAAGCGGGGGTTTCAAAAACCTTAGGAACTTGAAAATCTGGTTACGCGATTACAACCCCAACACCCCCTGTTGAGAGGCGAAGGAGTCCCCAAACGCCCCACGTCCGGCTCCCCTCACTCACAGTTCGAAACCTTTGGAATTGCAAAAGGAAACTGAAACTGCGGTGGTGAGAGGATAGCCCACACGCTCCTACTTCGGTAGGTTATTCCGTGTAGACTAGGCAACATCGTAACATAACAACTACTAGATTTAGGGACAGAATCTGTTACTGAACCGCGTAACGCTGTTTGCGCGCATGCGCGGACAAATCGCCATGCCTACGCACTCGCATAGGCCACACCACCTTAGACAAGGCCGCCCCACGCCTCCTCTCGCTGCCTCACCGCGAGGCCATTAGCGACAGCGCCTCCCCTCCCCACAAAGTCCCGTTTAGCCTCGACGCGCTAGCATCTGCATCCCGTCTCTTCCTCCACTCCTAGCTCGCCGTCCGCCGTTCGCCGCGCGCGATTGGGTACGTCATCCCCCCTTCCCGCCACGCCATCTCCCCTTCCCGCCACGCCTTCTCCCCTTCTGGGCACGCCCTTGTTTCCTCCCCTGCACGCCCTCATTCCAGAGCACTGAATTTCCCTTTCCGCAACCTCATTTCCGCCCGAAATCCCCTTTCCGCAACCTCTCGCCTTACCCATTCATGCTCCTATTGCCTCCCGGTTCAAATTCTTCTTTCGCCTCCCCGTGCGTGCTCCTCTCGCATCCCCTCGCTCTCCTCTCGCTTTCCCTGCCCGGCCTCCTCACGCCTCCCCGCGCGCTCGACTCTCACCTCCACACGCGGCCTCCTCTCGCCTCCCCGCGCGTTCTCCTCTCGCCTCCCCACGCGTTCTCCTCTCGCCTCCCCGCGCCTGCTCTTCTCGCCTCCCCGCGCCTGCTCCTCTCGCCTCCCCACGCGCGCGACTTTCGCCTCCCCGCGCTCTCCTCTCGCCTCCCCGCGCGTGCGACTCCCACCTCCACACGTGTCCTCCTCTCGCCTTCCCGCACATGCGCATTTAGCCTGCGTCGTCAGCTTCACCCTGCCCCCCCTTGCTGCCTCTCCGCGTCTCGCGGCGGCCTCCTTTCGTGCTGCACTCGAATAAGGCCCTTCTCCTCCTCTCACCACGCCTTCTCCTCCTCTCACCACGCCTTCTCCTCCTCTCATCACGCCTTCTCCTCCTCTCACCACGCCTTCTCCTCCTCTCACCACGCCTTCGCCTCCTCTCACCACGCCTTCTCCTCCTCTCACCACGCCTTCTCCTCCTTTCACCACGCCTTCTCCTCCTCTCACCACGCCTTCTCCTCCTCTCACCACACCTTCTCCTCCTCTCACCACGTCTTCTCCTCCTCTCACCACGCCTTCTCCTCCTCTCACCACGCCTTCTCCTCCTCTCACCACGCCTTCTCCTCCTCTCACCACGCCTTCTCCTCTCACCACGCCTTCTCCTCCTCTCACCATGCCTTCTCCTCCTCTCACCACGCCTTCTCCTCCTCCCACATTGCCTTCTCCTCCCACCATGCCTCCTCCCCTCCCGCCGTGCCACCGAAATACTTAATCATCTCGCGAGCCAGCCTTGTTACACGTGTTCCCTTTCCAACAGCGAGTTTCTTAGTGGTACCGCTACTCCTCGGTCCCCTTAGTCGCCTTTTATATTGCCTGTGGGAAGGCATTTCCTAGAAATTAATTGCTTATTCTTCAGTTATGAGTGTCACCCCAGGTGTTGGGTGATGGGAGAGTTCCTCGTGTTCGCAACTAACACCCTCCCAAACTTTCGCCGACCCTCTCGCCAAGCCTGTTCGTTTTCGTTGGGGTTTGCTTTTGGTGGGTACTGTTTCAAAACCAACAGTACTTTCAAATGTATACTACTGCTTTAACAGATTTTATCCAACAAAAAGCATCGCAAGGATGTGCACTGCAAATGTGTCGCAAGTTGGCGACACGCAAGCCCATTCACATGGAATGCTAATTTCACAGGTGTGCAATTCACGGACAGCAAAACGCTTCAGAAAAAAACCTGCTATGGCGGCAAAAACAGCATACGAGAAACAAAAGGAGGGGAAAAACAAAGAGTTTGCAAGGTGAACAGAGTTGAAAGAGACAGGGCGACGGAAACGAGGGCCCGAGGAGAGAGATAAGTGTGCACAATCGCGGAAAGAGGAAGGGTGATGGGAGGGAAGGGAGGAAGGGTGCGGAGAGGCCGTTTCATAGCAAGAGGAAAGGCGATGAGGCGGGAGATGGGAGGAGAGATTGGCTGGGGGACGAGAGGGCGTTTCGGTGCGAGCGCGAAGGCGAAGGGGAGAGAGCAAGGGCGACGGGAAGGGAGGGGAGAGAGCAAGGGCGACGGGAAGGGAGGGGAGAGCGCAAGGGCGACGGGAAGGGAGGGGAGAGCGCAAGGGCGACGGGAAGGGAGGGGAGAGAGCGAGGGCGACGGGAAGGGAGGGGAGAGAGCGAGGGCGACGGGGAGGGATGGATTATGCATCACAAAAAAGACCCATTTTCAATCGTGGGGAAAGGAGTTGAAGTTGGGCTTCGAAGTTGGGTTTGCGTGGGTGCTGCAATTTTTTGCCGCTCAACCTCCAGCGAAATGCTTCGCTTCCCAATGCTACCAATTTTTCGCGCCATCCAACCGACTTGCGAAACGGAACGCGCCTCGGCGAACCCAAATTGGCCTGATTTTGGTCAATTTTTGGCGTTTGACTTGGCTTGAATTTCAATTTTCATGTAGTCTCGCGAAAGCATACAATTTGTCGAGCCACATTTGGCACGAGAGCAGCAGGGCGCGCTTCGGGCCCCCAAAATTGGACCAAAATAGGATTGACTTGGTGCCAACTTTGCTCCTACATTTTTTGCTTTGTAAATTGTTTGTAAACTAAGACTAAATGCTGCAATTAAATATTTTCTAATCATGGTGACACATTCAAACATAAAGAACTAACCTGGACAAAATAACTAATCAGGGAGTGGATGAATCGTACATTTGTGTTGAATTATTAACAACAATAATTAAAATCTACAAAAAAAAATCAGTAACTTGTTACAAAAATACGCCTACGCATTATGATTATAATATGGTATATGCTTGAATGTTAAAAAAAAAAAAAAAAAACCTTGTTTAGAACAACAAACGGGCATTGATTTGGCACCACGTAATAGCAAAGGCTGATGAGAAACGAGGAATGAATGACTAAGGGAAAAGTTGGGTACAAGTACAAACCCTAGAAATGTGTACCCCACATGTGCTACCCCTGTCAGAACATTATAGCTTATGCTGTTGTGTAGGCTATAGTGGGGTATTCCATAGGGGGTACAACCAATTAGGGTTTCATATTTGTAGTCACTTCATTTCATAGTTCATTCATTCTTGTTCAAATCTTCTCATGGTATCGAGCAGGTTCCCCCTTGGGAACTGTGCTTAGGGCCCACCACATCGATTTTTTTTTTTCCTGCCCGAAGCGCGCTCAGCCCGAGTCGCGCTCCGGGCCCTCACTTCGTCGAGCCGCCCTAGCGGCCCTGCACTGCGGCCCCGCCACCCGTCTCCGCGGCCCCGCCGCCCGTCTTCGCGGCCCCGCCGCCTCTCTCCTAGCGGCCCCGCCGCCCTACCTAGCGGCCCCGCCGCCTCTCTCCTAGCGGCCCCGCCGCCCTACCTCGCGGCCTCGCCGCCCCATTGCGCGGCCCCGCCGCCCTACCTAGCGGCCCCGCCGCCCCATCGCGGCCCCGCTGCCCCATCGCGCGGCCCCGCCGCCCTACCTAGCGGCCCCGCCGCCCTACCTAGCGGCCCCGCCGCCCCACCGCGCGGCCCCGCCGCCCCATCGCGCGGCCCCGCCGCCCCATCGCGCGGCCCCGCCGCCCTTCCTCGCGGCCCCGCCGCCCCATCGCGCGGCCCCGCCGCCCTACCTAGCGGCCCCGCCGCCCTTCCTCGCGGCCCCGCCACCTTACCTGCGGCCCCGCCACCTTACCTGCGGCCCCGCCGCCCTCTGCTGCGGCCCCGCCACCTTACCTGCGGCCCCGCTACCTTACCTGCGGCCCTGCCACCTTACCTGCGGCCCCGCCGCCCTCTGCTGCGGCCCCGCCACCCTATCTGCGACCCCGCCACCCTACCCGCGGCCACGCCGCCCTTACCAGCGGCCCCGCCGCCCTTACCTGCGGCCCCGTCACCTGCTGCCCAGCCGTGCCGCCCTGCAGCAGCACAGCCGAGCCGCCCAGCAGCCGAGCCGCCGAGCCGCCCAGCAGCCGAGCCGCCCAGCAGCCGAGCCGCCGAGCCGCCCAGCAGCCGAGCTGCCCAGCAGCCGAGCCGCCCAGCGGCCGCGCCGCCCAGCAGCCGAGCCGCCCAGCAGCCGAGCCGCCCAGCAGCGGAGCCGCCGAGCCGCCGGGCCGCCCAGCAGCTGAGCCGCCGAGCCGCCGCGCCGCCCTCCTTCAGGGCCGCCCGACCTGCCCAGTCTGGTGAGCACAGCGCCTTTTCACTGCACTGTCCTCACCCTACTGTTTGCGCTGCTAGTCGTCTAGGGTCATGGCTACCCCTAGTGTTCTCGCCTTTGACGCTGAGGGTAGGGCCATTGACTTTGAGGTCTGGGTAGATGACCTGCAGCTGTTCTTACAGTGCGATAGGGCAGACGGCCTCTCTCTCTTTGACCTCACCTCTGGCACCTCCACTGCCCCTGCTGCTGATGCTGACGCCACTGTTCGCTCCCAGTGGGCCACGCGCGACGCTGCTGCACGTCTTGCTGTGCGGCGCCACCTCCCTACCTCCGAGCGTGCGCACTTTAGTCAGTACAAGAGTGCTCAGACCTTGTACGACGCTGTAGTTGCGCGCTACTCCTCCCCTGCCACTGCTGCACTGAGCCGTCTCATGCTACCGTACCTCTTTCCTGATCTTGCTGCCTTTCCCACAGTCACTGACCTCATTACGCACCTCCGCACTAGTGACACTCGCTACCGCGCTGCACTCCCTCCTGACTTCTGCGCCAGGAACCCCCCCCCCATGTACATCACTCTTTACTACATAGTCACTCGCCTTCCTGACTCCCTTCGCGTAGTCAGGGACCACTTTCTCTCTGTCTGTCCCACCACTCTCACTGTTGACCTCCTCGAGAAGTCCCTCCTAGCGGCCGAGAAGAGCATAGTCGCTGTAGGGGCCTCTCGTGGTGACCCGCGCACCCCCATCTTTGAGGGGTGTTCCCCCTCCCCCCTTCTGCCCTCTGTTGCCTCTGCTGCTGCGGCCGACCTCCTTGTTCTTGAGTCGGTCGGTGCGGCGTCTGCCCCTAGCGGGAGACGCCGCTCTGGCAAGGGCAAAGGGGGCAAGGGCGCTGGAGGAGCGAGCGGGGGCGGTGGAGGTGGAGGTGGCGGCAGTTGGGGGAGTGGGGGTGGCGGTGGGAGTGGAGGTGGGGGTGGAGGGGTCGGTGGCGGCAGTGGAGGTGGAGGTGGCGGCGGCGGTGGCGGTGGGAGCGGAGGTGGCGGAGGTGGCGGAGGTGGAGGCGGCGGCGGAGGCGGAGGCGGCGGAGGCGTCGGAGGCGGCGGGGGTGGCGGTGGTGCTGGTCGCGGGTCTTCGCAGAGGAGTGGCCCCGGTGGTGGCTCGCGCCAGCAGCAGCAGCGTGGTCGTGACACCCTGTCCCCTCAGCAGCTTCGTGAGTGGTACACTGCGCGTCAGCGGGGTGGGGGTTTTGGTCCGTGCTCCTACGTTTTGCGCACTGGCGACCGTACGGGTGAGCAGTGTGGGGGTGCCCACCCCACCCAGCGCTGCTTTGGCCGCCTGACGGACGCGTGGCGTCACCAGTTCCCGGAGGCCTCCGAGATCCCTCGCTGGGGCGAGCTGTCTAGGGCGGGTGTTGCCATCTATGATCTTGACTTTGATGCTATTCTCTCTGCCATGTATGCTGTGTCTATTAGTGATGAGGGTGACTGTTACCGGTGTTTCCCGCCCGATTCGGGCATTGAGACTGCTGCTCTAGGTCCTGGTGAGGCTGCTGCCCTAGGTGCTTGCGACGCTGCTGCTCTAGGTGCTCGTGTGTCTGCGTCCTCAGGTACTGGTGAGTCTGCGCTCTCAGGTACTGCGTCGGCTTCGGCCTCCCTCACCTTCACCCTTGACTCTGGGGCGTCTCGCTCCTTCTTTCGGGACCGCACCACACTCACACCGCTGAGTCGACCGGTTGCAGTGTCTCTGGCTGACCCCTCTGGGGGTCCTGTCCTGTCTCGCTTCTCCACAGTCCTCCCGTGTCCGGCGGCTCCCTCTGGCATCCTGTCTGGTCTCTACCTCCCCTCGTTCTCTACGAACCTGGTGAGTGGTGCTGACCTACAGGATGCGGGGGTCCACCAGTTCACTCCTGCACGTCAGAGAGTGACCCACTGTACAGAGGTTGGCACAGGCCGACACCTGGCTACGTTCACCCGTCAGCCGGGGTCGAGCCTGTACACTCTGACCACTGCGTCTCCTCCAGTTGCTGAGTCTGGTAGGGTAGTTACGTCGGGTCAGGTGTTTGCTGCGGCGTCCAGGTCTGGTCCTGAGTCTGCCCCCTGTTCGTGTCGTCTCCTGTCTCACGAGACTCTCCTCTGGCACCACCGCCTTGGCCACCCCTCTCTGCTTCGGCTCAGAGGTATGGCCTCCCGTCTTCTTGTGTCCGGTCTCCCCCGGTCCCTCCCTCCCCTTCCTCAGGGCCCTGGCCCTGCCTGTGTCCCCTGTGTCGAGGGGCGCCTGCGTGCTGCCCCTCACTCCTCCCAGTTTCCTCCGACAGAGGCCCCGTCGCAGACACTTCACATGGACGTGTGGGGCCCAGCCCGCGTCCGTGGACAGGGTCACGAGCGCTACTTCCTGCTCGTTGTTGACGACTACTCGCGTTACACCACAGTCTTCCCCTTGCGCAGCAAGGGTGATGTCACTGAGGTGCTGATCGACTGGATCCGCGCAGCTCGTCTCCAGCTCAGGCAGAGCTTCGGCTCGGACTTTCCTGTTCTGCGTCTGCACTCGGACAGAGGCGGAGATTTCTCCTCTGGCCTTCTGCGTGCCTACTGTCGTGCACGGGGCATCCGTCAGACCTTCACGCTTCCGGACTCACCGCAGCAAAATGGGATTGCTGAGCGCCGCATTGGCATGGTCATGGACGTCGCTCGTACGTCTATGATGCATGCGGCTGCCCCCCATTTTCTGTGGCCGTTTGCAGTGAGGTACGCGGCGCATCAGATCAACCTCCACCCCAGGGTCTCCAGGCCGGAGACCTCCCCAGCCTTGCTGTGGACGGGGAAGGTTGGCGATGCGTCGGCGTTCCGGGTCTGGGGATCTCGGGCGTTTGTCCGCGACCTGTCTGCGGACAAACTATCCCCTCGTGCTGCTCCTTGCGTCTTCCTGGGGTTCCCCCCTGACGCGCCTGGGTGGCAGTTTTACCACCCCACCTCTCGCCGTGTTCTGTCCTCCCAGGACGTCACGTTTGACGAGTGGGTCCCCTACTACCGCCTCTTCCCCTACCGCACTCCGTCCCTCCCCCCACCCCC